TTTTTTTTTTTTTTTTTTTTTTTTTTTTTTTTTTTTTTTTTTTTTTTTTTTGTCTGAGATATTAACTGTGCGTGTCGATTATATTGCAATTTCAGATGGTTATTATGGGACGGACAATGTGTATTTGTAGATAATGGTACAATAGGGAGCTGACCAATGGAACACTTGTTTCTTGAATTATTGGTTAGTTCAGGGTAGCAATCTTCAGTTTTTTTTTATTCCCAGTGCATGTATGTGGACGCGTTGTATTTAGTTTTCAGCCTAGCGTCGATTTTCTATGGTTCTGTTCATTTATCATGTTTTTTTTTTCCTTTCCAGATGAGTTCTTTAAGCATTTTGTCATTTAGTAAAATGGTAGTGGTGTGAATGGGTTGGCGCAATGGTCATTGAATTGCTGGAAAAGTAAAGGGAGTTAGATCGAGTGAGTTAAAGCCCCACAGTGGCCATCTACCTAGGCCTTTTAGTTTTCTCGACGACTAAATATAGTAGGGTCAGACAGTTGTTCTAAGATTACTTCGTTTTAGTATGAAATTACAAATTTATGGTCATAAATTTGTTGCAAGCAGCAATTTATTCATTTTTCTTTATGATATTTAACTAATTGGTAGCTTAAAAAGTGGATAACTGGATGTGCTATATCAGAAGGCACGACTTGTGATCAGAACTAAACTTAGCTTCCAGTATACATATGTCATATCGGACTTGTTAAACTAGAGTTGAGCAACATCAAGCAATCATTCCACACGTTTCAGGTTGTTCACAGTAATTTTTAAGTTGGTCTAAAAGGGAAGTCAACCTTTTTCTGTACAATCTGTTAAAGGTTAAAGAAAGTGAAATATCCAGTGGCTCTCATTTCATCCACTTCATTCTATAACGCAGACTTTATATGGGCGGAATCATCTTATTACTGTTCTGTTACCTTGTAGGTTTGTACTCTAAGAAGGGTTGAACTTTTTGGATTTCATGCATGCCATAAAGGGTGGGTGGCCAGGGTGTCCTCTTGCCCTAGCCAAGTACAATGAGTCTGAAGGGAGGAAGACCAGAATTCGGCGTTCGAAGGAGGAAAGGAAGGCAATGGTTGAAGTCTTCATAAAAAAGTAACCACAATGGTTTTAGTTCATATTTTTGCATCTACTGATCTTCTAAAGTATGCATGAATCATTTAGATTGTTGAAACTATTATCCCTGCATGATGACATTTCACTTTCAATTATATTGAATTCTCAAGTGCTAGATATCTTGATTGAGAAAACCTTGTTCTGCTATGTGATGTTCTCACTCCATGATTTATCTAAGCTGTTCATGTTTAAACATGGATCGCTGTACTTTGCCACTTGTTGTTGGATTTTTTTTTTTGACATTGTTTTCTAGTTGAGCTTTTGTTTTAGCTTTTGATAGCAAGCATCTAGCAACTGTTAGGCGGATAAATTCTTTTGCGGCTGAGTAGTCATGGTTATTCTTATCCAAAAATAGTCATGGTTATTTCCCTTGGTATGAATTGGAATAAAAACCTACTCCAATTAGTTGAGCTTTTACCAGTATGGGAGTGGTTAGCTTTGAGAGTAGGTATGAAAAAAGAAAATCTTCTAAAAATCACAATGGATAGCATTTTTTTTTATTGCACGTATATTGGATGAGCATTTTTATTTTGAACAAGAAACAAGGCATGAGCATTTTGATTGGGACACTTAAAAAGGCATAAATTTATTTATTTGTTTTTTTATTTTTAGTTCTCAGGATAGAACCATTGAAAATCGAGATCCGTGACTGTTGGTTTATTCGATGGAGTGAAGTAACTTTTTCATTTTGAAAATTTATTTCATAAAAGATTTCTAGAACCAAAGAAAACAGTAAACCGTGAAACCTTGCAATAAGTGACTTCATTTACTGATATCTATATACTAATAAGGATAAAATAAAGAGTTTAATTACCCTACAGCATAATTTTGTTAATACTTAATATAGGATTGTATTGTAGCCTTCCTTCTCCCTTAAATGACACCCTTGTTCCTCAAGGGAGGAGAGTTCTTTGAGGATGATTTTGATATCATGTGACTTAATGCCGAGCCTTTTGATTTCAGAACGTACCTACTCCTTGATATCATTTCTTTGAAAATGTAAGAGCTCTTTTGGGCAAACTGAAAGGGCTCTAGTTCTTCTTTAAGCTCCAGAACTTGTATTCTTTGTGAAAAGCTAGCTATTAATTGAAACAATGTAGTTATTCATAAATCTGAAAAAGATGTGAAGAGTGCGTGCATACAAAAAAAAGTTATTCAAGAGAATTTGAACCTCTATTGTCGAACTTTTGAGGAACACAAACTTCCCAACAAATTGTCCGTACAAGTAAGTTCTCATTCCTCATTAATATCATGATTTGAATACTATGGTATGGAAACAATGTGCTGCTAAAAATCCTTAAAATCAAAGAAAGTACAAGACCAAGATAACTCCCATTAAAATAGAAAACTTATTTCACTGCTTTTGATACAGATGTAATTTATTTAATTTTTAAGAATATGACATGGGATCCTAACATCCTGCTTGCAGGTATCAGGAATCAAATAAGGGAAGTTTCCCTTCACTCAACCTTACTCACAAGGAAGTTGGTGGATCTTTCTATACAGTGCGGGAGATCGTACGTGATATAATCCAAGAAAATAGAGTTCTTGGTCCAGGAAAGTTGTCACTAGAAGAGCACAGCACGGATCATTTACTTGAAGAGAATCCACTGCACTCAATTGCTATTGAACCTCAATCTCCTTTAACGTCGCCCTCAGAGGAATTTGATTTTCCAATCAACCACAACCATTGTATAAATGAAGAACCAATCATTGTTTCAGATGAGGAGCAATACACTTCAAAAAATATTCAGGGATCACAGAATGGGGTCATAATTAACGGCAGCCTGGTGGATGCCAGTGACAAGGATTCTGATGAAGTTATCCAGACAGAGTTGCTAGTAAATGAACACAAGAAAATAGAGGAAGTGTTGAAAGAGGAATCAGGAATGCCTATTAATCATGTAACTCCTTTGGCTGTAGATGTCAAGGTAGGGACATTCCCGTTGGATTCATTTTCTTGGGCTGCTAATGGTTCAGATGTAATATCTGAGACTTTGATTTCAACCGATGCCTCGGAAAAGAAAGTTAGTCAACCCATCGAGTTAGAATCAGATGTTATCTTGTTTAACAGTGAAGATAATAATTCCACGAAAGCTTCTGGTCGTGCAGATGAAAAGGCATTATCAGAAACAATGTCTGATTTGGTGGAGGTAGCACAAATTGTTGAAGTCACTAATGGAACTGTGATGAAAGATGGTCGCATACATGAAGTTGAGGGTCCTGGGTTGGAAATTTGCACTGATACTCCAATATCTGTGACCTTTGAACAAGGCCAGAAATCTAGTGAAATAAAGGTGAGTGTTCTATTTCTTTGTGGCCAAGCACAGAATGGCGTTAAAGTTTTTTTTATCTATCGTCTTTTAAATTTCTGGGGCATAGGTATAAATGCTTAAAGTTGACTTTTGGATTATGACAAAATATCGTGGGGGCGGTAGCAATTTTACTCGAGTCGTTTCTGGGCCAGTTGAAACTTTTGAGCGAGGAAAAAAAACAGAGAATTTCTTGCATCTTAAACTTTTTGGATGGTGTTTAGATGTTCATTTGCATGTGGGTGATCTTGTTTCAATGTTTTTGTTTGAAAAATAACAATGTGTACTCATCTAACCATTAGATGAAAAGAAAGAAGAATTGAAGAACATGTTATATTGAAGTCAGAGTTGTTTATTTCAAGGATTTGCTATACTTTTTTTCTTGTAACTCAAGTTTTGGAAGAATAGTTTGAATTTGGACTATTATTGATGCTCTTTTACAGGCTCCGAATGCTTCTCCGAGCGGTACCAAGAATCTCAACGATTCACGCAACAATGGCATCGATCAGGCTTCAAAAATCAAAGAGGAGACAGAGGTTAAAAATAAAGTAGAGGCAGAACAGACTGGTGGCTCCCAGAAAGAAAGCATTCCAACACTAAATAGACTTAATCTGTAAGAACATCAAGTCCACCCCACCTTCACTTTACTTTATGATTCAAATTAATCAATCATTTTAACCACATATTCATCTTCCAAACGTTCCTTTTCAGCAAATCATGGCATGGGACGTCAAAAGATTCTTCAAAACCCGAAAACAACCCGCTTTTGGAAATCCTCAACGCATTCATTGCTGCCTTCGTGAAGTTTTGGTCCGAGTAAGTTCTATGACTGTCAATCGAATAGATAGAGAGTAGTAGTTAATTTTTCCTGCCACAGAACCTGTCTGTCTGTGTACCAAACCTGCAATCGGTTACCCCGTCGCCTCCACTCGGTCCCATTGTCGATATTTATGAAGAGAAAACTGGAGGTGGGTTGGCATTTCTGTACCCTGCAGTGTGAAAGAAAGCTTAGGAGTAGCCTAAAAGCCTGTAGAAGGGATTTTCTTCTCTTTTTTTACTGTAAGCATGAGATGATGAGATACATGTCGTCCCCACCGCCATGGTTTTCTTCTAGAAATGAAGATTTTGCTCTAATTAATGCATTAGCATATGATGAAAAAAGGGTGAAAAGAGAAGGAAAAGTTGAAGTAACGTGAGGGAGGAGCCTTTGTGTGTTAGGAAAACATGGAAACAAGAGAGAGAGGCATATACAGATTGGAGTTTTAATAGGCACATCTTCTTTGCCCTTTTTCTCTCTGACCCGACATCTTATATCATATGGATCATGTAGTCACATGATTTTCTGCTTCCCAATTTTCTAATAGTACACTCTCTTGCAGCCTTTTTGTTTTTTATTTTATATTAAAAAAAAAAGTCAATTTTATTTCTCATTTTTATATTCATTTTTTGAAAAGTTTTCTCCTGTTTCATAAGGTTTTTTTTGTATATTTTTTTTTTCACCCCAATCCGGATTACTGTGCCGATAGGAACACCACCCGAAAGATCAATTCAATGACGTAAACCGTTGGAAACTTGAGAGGGTCGCTAGGTTTGGGAGGGAGAGGGAGTTCAAATAGTCTCTTGTGTCTAGCTATGTATGTTAGGGGCGCTATTCTCTCTTTGAGTTCTGCTTGCGATGACAAAACTCTCCCATTAGCCTATCATTTGATTGATCAATGGGCAATGTAGGGCTTTCTTGTGGTAGTCATTTCAAATTATGTGATGTCCCACATTGGTTGGAGAGGAGAACAAACCACCATTTATAAGGGTGTGGAAACTTTCTCCTAACAAACGCCCGAAAGGGAAAGCCCAAAGATGACAATATCTATTAGTCGTGGATCTAGGTCGTTACAAATTATCACCTCTAATGCAACAAAATTGAATCGTGAATGCTACTCGATCGAACTCTTTGATGTTCTTTTTCTTTCCTCAAACATCAAATCTTGGGCATATGACACAAATCTTTGGTATGTGACACATGCTAACCGTGGGTATGCTTTTTGAAAATGAAGCCCCGAGTATTGGTTTGCTGGTTAAGGTATATACCTCGACTAAAAACTAGGGTTTTCTAAATACAACAAAACAATAAAATTAGTAATTAATGTATAAAAAGGTCAAACAAAGCACACGTGCAAAAGAGAATTGACTGTACGACTGAATGAATTCATCAAACACTAAATTTTTTGTGCGTTCACATCGTCAATTTTTGGTCATTTTCACATTAGGCAATAACCAACACTTTCAATAAATTTTAAACCATTTAGTCCTCTCTTGTAATTGACTTTATTTTTCTTTTTTTAAAAAAGAAAGAAATAAAAAATTAAATGCATACTATTTTAACAAACCTTGTAACAAACTCTTCCCTCTCCCTTTTCCCCATGCCATTGGATCTGGGGCTTTTTTTTTTAATCCTTTTTTTTATTTTTCCAATTCAATATTCTAAAATAAAAAAATAAGGAATATTGGAAATGATTACGTGGAATTCGAGGAAGTTAATAATTAATATTAAAAAAAAACTGCAATTTTCATACAATTTGTAATTTTCAAGCAGCCTTTGTATTATAAAAATGAATTTATTTAAAATTCTTAAACCTGGAATGTTGTTTTGTCTGTATTTTTAATATATGACTAAATAATTTATATTATTTAATATGGGCTTGCAAACCAGATATTCCACGTGTCAATAGTTTTTTTTTAATTAAGGATTTAATTATATAAAATTTATACAAATATATTTTCTAACAGAAAAAATCGAAGTATATTTTTTTATTTTTCTAATTTAGAAAGAAATATATTTTTAAAAATTTTATAAAACTTATATTTTGGTTGTAAATTTAGTTTCATAAAATTAAATTATTTTATGATGACCGTGCACGAGGCCATTATAATATTGAGTCGAGGCCAGGCACACCAACTACACGAACCTCATCCTTTCTGTTACTAGCACTTTCCCGAGTTTTATATCAATGAAAACAAGTAACACCATATTATTAATTTTTTTAAAAAAAATTAAAATTAACTTCACCAATCACATTAGATTAAAAAAAAATGGCAAGAGACTCAAGGTCCATTAAAAAAGATTCAAACAAACGGTGCAAGAATCCCAAGAGAGAAAAGCAAAATTACTCTTTTACCCTTGAAGATTAAAAATAAAATAATATATATTAATCCGGATTAGAGAATATTTTAATGTACACTAATAAAGGCCAATGATTGACGGTGAAACCAAGAGAGAGAGAGAGAGAGAGAAATTAATATTAATTAGAAAAAAAAAATTAAATAATAATAAATAAATAAATAAAAGAGGAAAAAAACAGTTTCACGTGGGGGAGATTCATTTAGGTAATGTGTTTGGTTTGTGATTTGGTAAACCCAATCCATCAATGAACTCATTCCCCAAATTCCTCTTTTTTTTTTTTTTTTTTTTTTTTTTTTTTTTTTTTTTTTTTTTTTTTTTTTTTTT